AAGTCTAGGGAGAGATTTCAGGCATGTCCATTTCGGCATCCTCTTTTAGTGTTCCGGAGGGCTCTCTGCCATCTCTATTGATGGGTCATGGCTGTTAATACTGGAGCAAGATGGCAGAACTCTAGTCAGGAAGCCAATGCTGCCTTCCCTCCACACTGCTGCCCCCTCCTTTGGTTTATACTCCAGTAAGTTATTTCAATCTCACTGTTTGGCAAAAAAAGAACAACAGAAAGGTCCCTGCATACCTTGTTCAATTGGAGAGCTTTAATATTTTTCATTTATCATTGCAAAACCAAGGACAATTTTATAACTTCTTTTATACAGTTGTTACATGTAGGGCAATCTGTCTGTAAGCAGGGACAAATGACTCTAAAAGAAATAAATCCTAGCTGGTTTTCCCTTCAAATCAAGCCTCTTATTGTTTAAATAAACTTCTTGTTAAAGGGAAAAGAAAGAAAGAAAGAAAGAAAGAAAGAAAGAAAGAAAGAAAGAAAGAAAGAAAGAAAGAAAGAAAGAAAAAGAAAGAAAGAAAGAAAGAAAGAAAAAAGAAAAGAAAGAAAGAAAGAAAAAGAAAGCCAATGCTAAAGAGAAAGGACTTCAACTTTTGTGTGTTTTATTCTCTTTCAGGGCAAGGAAAGGCCAAGTCGTCCCGGAGGGTGCACTGGACATCTGCCTCTGTTGGAAACAAGCCCGGCTGGATCTATCTCCGCCCAGCAAGACCGCAGCCCCCACTGCCAGTAGGCCCCCGTCCTCCTCGGCCCCACGTCCACTTCTGGACAGGGGAGGGGCTGGCTGTGGGGGTGAGGAGGAATCTAAGAACAACTGAGGACCTGAGGCCCGCGCTGTTTTGGTGGGAACTTTGAGCAAACGGGGCAGACATGCGTCAGCACTTGGGCACGCTGAGAGACACAGACTTTCTTACTTGAGTCCTACAGCCACTCCGCAAGACAGAGCACACACCCAATTAATAACTGAGGAAATGTCAATTCAGAGAGATAAAGCACCTGGCTCAAGATCACACACTATTAAGTGCCAGGAGTGGAGTTGAAATCCCCTTTTGGCTCGACATCTATTATCCTTGTCCCTATGCCTCAGGACCACCAGTTTCTAAAAGTCCTTTTTCTACGGTCTAGGTCGATCACACTTTCCCATAGGGCAGGAAGGATATACCAGTGCAAAGTTACTTGGACTACTCCTTCTTCCCATAATGTATTACTGTAACATGAATTTATCCAAAAAAAATATTTATTGGCCACCTGTACTAGGTGCTAGGAAAACGCAAGCAAGCAAGCAGATAAAAATCTCTGCTTACCATCTAATGGGAGAAGGCACATAATACATGAAATAAATAAAGCATAGAGTATGCTAGATGGCGGTGGGTGCAACGGAGAAAAATAAAGCAGGAGAAGGAGAGTATTTGTTGGGGAAAGGGCTTCAGTGGCTGTCTTCAGAAAGAACATTCCAGGCAGAGAAAATAGTAGGTGCCAAGACCCTGGGGTGGAGGCATGGCTGAAGGTGGTGAAATGCAAGGAGGCTAGTGTCGCTGGCAGAGCGCCATCAGGAGAAAGAGGGGCAGATGATTTCAGAGAGTTATCAGGGGCCCTGATCATGGAGAGCCTTATAGCCCACGTAAAGACTTTGGCTTCTACTCTAAATAAAATGCAAAACATTTGGACATTTTGTGCAGAATGACATGATTTGTATTGCCTTACATTTTATTTTTTTTTTAAGATTTATTTGTTTATTTTATTTATTTGACAGAGAGAGACACAGCGAGAGAGGGAACACAAGCAGGGGGAGTGGGAGAGGGAGAAGCAGGCTTCCCGCCGAGCAGGGAGCCCGATGCGGGGCTCGATCCCAGGACCCTGGGATCATGACCTGAGCCGAAGGCAGACGCTTAATGACTGAGCGACCCAGGCGCCCCTTGCCTTACATTTTAACACAGTTATGAGAATAGACCGAACAGGGGAGAAAGAGCAGGGAGACTAAAAAAGAAAGCTTTGACAAGGGTCTCAGAGAAAGACAGTGATGGTTGGGGCAAGGTGGTAGGATTGGGGGTAGGAATTGGATTCTGAGTGCTGATAGAACAAACAGGATAGACGAGTAGGGTGGGGGCTGAATCGTGGGGTGAGTGCAGAGGACAGAGAGAGTCTGGGCAGGAAGCCTGGGGTTCCCAGCTGGAGTTTCAGCCCATCTCATGGTTACAGTGTTACCTGAGGAAAAGTCACTGAAGAGCTTGGGGCCTCATTTTTCACACCGAGAAAAATGGGCTTTGACACGTTCCTGATCGCACAAGGCTCAAAGGAATGTGATGCCTGGGCAGAAGTTTGCTTGCTTAGAAATGAACCGCAGCTCTGTGTGACCTCGTGCAAGTTCGTCTGCCTGAGTAACTGTGGCGGGGAGACCGAGGTCAAATCTGGAATATCGTGGGGGCAAATATAAAACCCCCAAACCAAAAGACATTACAGTTGTGAGGAATTAATTTAGGGAGTTTATTTATTTATTTATTTTAAAAACTCGGCAATGGTTCCTTTTTTGTTTGTTTGTTTTAGATTTTATGTATTTATTTTTAGAGGGGGCCCCACTCATGAGCAGGGGGAGGGACAGAGGAAGAGGGAGAGCAGCAGACTCCCTGCTGAGCATGGAGCCCCTCATGGGGCTAGATCTCATGACCCTGAGATCACGACCTGCACCTAAATCAAGAATCTGACCCTCAACCCACTGAGCCACCCAGGCGCCGCTAGGGAGCTTTATTTTTAAAAAAGTTAAATCTCTTTCTTGGAAGGCTAAGAATAGTCATAGAAGAAAGTTCATTTGTAAAAAAGAAAACTGTTTTAACCAAAGCTTTATGATCCCTAGTTACAATATGGATTTTGTACTTTTTGAACCTGCATTTATAAATGTTACCTGGTTGGTGATTAGTAAATTTTTACACACTCCCCCAAATTCTCATCTTCAGTTTTAGTTTTATTTAAGCACAAAGGATTTCTTTTGATTTCCCCTGTCTCTGAGGCAGGTTTAGCACCACCTTGGAATTTTTCTAAATTTTTACCAGCAACAGAACTACATGATTGAATTATTTTAAGTGACTTGAATGTTTACAACTTTCCCAATCTTACATAAACAGGCAAAGCCCAAGCTGCCTCTTTCCAATTCACAAATACAAAAAAAGCACCCTTAACTGGAACATTCAGAATAAGTACAAAGGAGTTGGTGAGCCCTCCCAGAGGTGAGGGGGCAAGGGTCACAGGGCAATAAAGGTGTTTCACACGCATCCACTTTCTGGGGCAGAACCACGTGATCCGGGTCTGATCCGGGTCCCCCCTTCCTCCTCCTGCCTCCATTGGCTACGACCCTCCCAGGTCTTGTCCATCACAACCTACTATTCGAAGTCCAAGTCTCTCAGTATCCTCCAAGGTAACTGAGAAGCCATTTCGTAAGCCAATTTAATTGAATTACAAGTGTACCTTGCTTTATTGCACCTCACAGATACTGTGCTTTTTACAAATTGCAGATTTGTGGCAACCCTGCCTCGAGCAAGTCTATTGGTGCCATTTTTCCAGAAACATTTGCTCACTGCATGTCTCTGTGTCACATGTTGGTAATTCTCGCAATTTTCCAAAATTTTTCATTACCATTCTATTTGCTAGGTGATCTGTGATCAGTGGTTATGATTTGCTGAAAGTTCAGATGATGGTTAGCATTTTTTAGCAATAAAGTATTTTTAAACTAAGGTACGTACATAGTTGGTTTTTTTTTTTTTTTTTAGACATAATGTTAATGCACCCTTAATAGAGTACAGTATACTGTCAACATAACTTTTATATGCACTGGGAAACCAAGAAATTTATCTGAGGTGTTTTATTGTGATATTTGCTTTTTTTCAGAGGTCTGAAACCAAACCCACAATATCTCCAAGGTACTCCTGTATTAGTGATGAAGAAGGATTAATCCTGCAATAAGTTATGGTGAAATAATAGAATGCTTAGGCATTGTAAAGATATCTGTTTAATAAGGAGTCTCTTTGGGAAAGACTCATGAAATCTTCTCATAATGTGGTCTCCTTCTTTGCATATACTTTATTTTTTTTTTAAAGATTTTATTTATTTATTTGACAGAGAGAGAGACAGCGAGAGCAGGAACACAAGCAGGGGGAGAGAGAGAGGGAGAAGCAGGCTTCCTGCCGAGCAGGGAGCCCGATGTGGGACTCGATCCCAGGACCCTGGGATCATGACCTGAGCCAAAGGCAGACGCTTAACGACTGAGCCACCCAGGCGCCCTGCATATACTTTAAATGATCAGTCTTTAATATTGTCCCTGAGACCATTTCAGGGGGTCCACAAAAGTCAAAACTATTGTTCACAGCAACACATCATTTGCCTTTTTTATGCTCATTCTCTCACAATCGTGATGTGGAACTTCCCAGAAACTATGTGATGTGTAATGTGGACATCATTCTGATGGCTAAGAGAATGCATGCTTGTATATTTTTGTTTTTAAAATTCACAATGTGAATTTTAAATGTGAAAGTTTCGAATGTGGTAAATATCAGCAAACACTTCTCTTTACAAGAAACTCTCTGGGGTCCTCAATAATGTTTTTAAGCACGTTCTAAATTTTTGAGAGCTACTGCTTTAGTTATCCTCCCTGATCTGGCAGTTGAAATACCAGGCAGGGTGGTAGCTCTGATTAAATTCAAAACCATAGTAACTTAATCAGTTTGCAAAGGTTGATATCTAAAAGCAAAATCAAAAGAACATATACAAAGAAGTGCTCCAAATTGACCAGGTCATGTCCAAAGCACAGTTGTCAACCTGATGGCGCTCTCACTGGCCAGATCGGGGATATCTGATTTGTGACTTTGTGATTAATCAGAAGTGTCAGTGGCATCTTCTGGTGGGTGAGAGATAGAGGAGAGAGGAGGGTTTCACACAAAGAGGGAAAATCTAAAGATTATCATTAATGTCCACATTTCCCAAAAGAGTGTCGTGAACCAAATATTTAGATTTGACACTTTTAATCATTCAGTATCTTAATACAAATATAAGAAATAATACAGATTTAAATAACATATGAAAAGCTTGCTAAATATACAAATATCCAATTCAACAGTGAAAACAACTTAAGCTTTAGTTCTTAGGTCACTGAGTAGAGACAAGAAAGCAAAAGATACTGAAAAAGTCAATAATTTGGTCTTGTGATTTTTAAGAGTTCAAAAATGTTCCACTAGTTAGAACAATATAATTTAGAACAAAGGGATTTCTAAACCCAAACATACCTTCTCTGCTATTATGAGAAGTTAACTCATGGGAAAAGAAGCCAGGAGGGAGAAGCATCTGAATTGACTTTGAATTCGAAACTTCCTAAATGCCTGTTTTTATTTTATCATGTATTTTCTTTTGATTTCACAATGACTGGTATAGGACCAGATCCTATTATAAGTCAAATGGGACAGGAAATGCTTTTTTTAAAAACGTGAGCTGCTGGGCTAACAATACTTATTCTTCTATACAAGTAGATAAGTAAAGTTAAGGTTGTCAGTGTTATTTTGCAATGAATTCAGTCCATATTCATTGTGGTAAACGCCAGTCAGAGGAGGACATGAAGAACTGCAGTGAAACCAAGGATTCTAGAAAGACCAGTTACTAACAAACCAGTCAGCAGGTAGTGGACTACCACCACCACGTGAGGAGGAAACTGACTCGTGGACCTAAGAACAATATGGAAGAAGAGATGGAACAGCAACAGAAAGGTAAAAGGTAGTCTCAGAAAAGTTCTTTGGTCCTTAACACCTTCCCGTGTTCTCCTTTCTCTTTTTCCTTTCTTGATTCCTTTTTTTCCTGCAATTACATCAGTTTTTGGAGCAGAATGGCAAACGATCTGGTCCAACTTCCTAATTTTCTGGATGCGGGTGTGGATGCTCATTGAGATAAAGTGATGGACAGAGCGTTGCCCTCGGTTGGAGCCAGAGTCAGCCTCTGAGTTGTGGCTACTGATTCAAAGTCCAGTCTCCTTTCAACAGCACAACACTGCATTGCTTCACAAAATCAAGTCCTACAACAGACTTGAGAGATAAAACGACTTCCTTTTGGAACTCCCACAAGCACTGGGTAGCTTAGATGGCAGTAGAAAATCTTGAAATTCTTAGGTCTTTTACCCCTACCTCTTCTGCTCTTTATGTCCCTCAGAGAATGACCCTTTTCCTCCTGCCTTCCTTCTGAGTCGGATTCAAGTAGACCAGGGAGTAAATTTTCCAGGTTCTGTGTGATTCCTCTAGGGCTCTGGATAAAAGAAAGATCAAGATATTAACTTCCAACATTTATAATGTCTATCCTAACACATTTGAAGAAGATACATAACAGAAGTGTCAGTAAGCATAGAACACACCTGTGCATATTTCATTGGCAAAGATAAGGACATTCCTGACCCAATGTGATGTGGGGAGACCGTGACTCTCTCCAAGGGACGTAGGTAATTCTAGGAAATAATCTTTTGCAGAATCACTTAGGACTACAAGTAAAAAAAAAAAAGAGAGAGAGAATTCCAAATAATCTACATGTATTTTATTTATAAGACCTTGAGCTTTGCTCTCTGTGGATACTAACTCACTGGACCTTGGGCTGGGAATGGTCACAAAGTAGACCCATGGAGGGCCTTTCCAGGGCTATCAGGTTTCTCGCACCTAAACTGAAAGGATGTGGACCTCCCTACAAGGCAGGCAAAGACCTGGGATTTTATCTTGGGGCTACCTCTCATTCTCTGTGTAATCTTAAGTAATTCTTTACCAGAAACTGTAACATTTTAAACCTGCCAAAATTCCAGTACCTGCTGTCTGTGGTAAAAAAAAAAACACAGAATAGCTCAGGCAAGAATGCCCAGGCTTAAGGTTCTGCTAGTGAGTGACTCTGTCATCTGGTCGTGACATTTTGGTATGATGGATGGCATCTGCCCCCATTCAAGGGTAAACTCTTGTAGAAAAATACGTTGGAATGCAAGATTTCTCCCAGCAGTTTTGACCTAAGCAGTCCAATAAAGGTTGCCCCACACTTTTCTCGTATAAAACACCCCATTCCTTCAGCTTAGAGCTATAAGGAAACTGGGGTGGGGTGCTGGCTACCACCCATCTAGCCTGCCTCAGGGAGATGTTAAGTACAATTATTACGCAAAGCAAAGATTCTTATTATTTTAGAAACAAATACTCTTTGTATTGTCCTTCTAACTAGTCACCAATTTCACCATCATAAATTGTCCATTGGGCACTTTTGTTATTTGATATAGTACTAAGCTTAAAATAGAAAAAAATGGCGGGGTGCCTGGGTGGCTCCGTCGGTTAAGCGTCTGCCTTCGGCTCAGGTCATGATCCCAGGGTCCTGGGATCGAGTCCCACATCGGGCTCTCTGCTTTGTGGGGAGCCTGCTTCTCCCTCTCCCCCTGCTCTTCTCTCTCTCTCTGTCAAATAAATAAAATCTTAAAAAAGAAACAAAAGAAAAAAATGGCATGATTCCACCCAGAACATAGTGTTTTATTAACACTGCCATTATCATTGAAAGAGCCCATTTACAGGTTACATTATTATGAAGTGAAGTGAAAGAATTCAGGGTAATTATAGATAATGTGGGCAAGAAAAAAAAACCACTTTGCTATGAAATGGCTAGACACTTGAAGAAAAAGTGAAATCTGGCGTGTGCATTTCATATGAATGTCTAAATTTTCTACTGTTTGCCAATTCTGCCTTGACTCAATCAAACAAAAGAAAACTAGTACTCAAAAATTTCAAAAACTGAGGTGATTATCTGTCTATTAAGATCTGCCCCAAAGGGAGGTGAGTTTTTGAGAAGCATGTAATCATTGGTGGGTTGACTAATGAGAAATAAAAGGCTATTCTCAAGCTCAAATTTAATTTCATTGTGGAAGGGGCACATTTATGACATCAACTGGGTTTTAATAGCAAGAACTAATACAGAATGGTGGAAAATTTCCCTAGGAAATTTTATTTTATTTTTTCACTTTCAATTTTAGTAATAAAGTACTGGATTCACGAAAGACAAAGAAAAGAGGCTGTTCTTTGAAAACATATCAACCTATTAATCAACCTATTATCTTACTGATGTCGTTTCATGGGAAGTAACTACAATGATCCCATCAGGACTGATACAAAGAGAAATTGCCTCTAAGTCATCATACCTTCCTCCAGAGGTATTTCACCTTCACTGGTGAAAAGAACACAACCATTCTCTGGCATTAAACAGAATCACAAGAAAAAGTGATTTTTCTACAAAAGTGACATCATCATTAGAGATCACTCCTCTATCCCAAAACTATAAATTTGCTTGTGTTTTTGTGAGCAATGAATAAGTGATTTTGATCTAAATAGACTTTGTTGTTTCTGAGTCACACTTACTTAACTAGATTTGTCTTACCATGGGGCGGCTCCCTGGAGAGGATTCTTTTCTACTCACATTCAGTGAGTTCAAGAATGAATTCATCAAGAATGAATTCATCCCTCCTCTCCTCCTTCTCTCTCCATGAACTTTGAACACAAGCACACACACACTCACACACATTCAGTTCCCCTCTTCACTTCCTTATTTCTGAGCACATCACCATTGTTCCAGTCACTGGGATCAGAAATTTGGTGTTATTTTTGACTGATCATGTTTTCCTGCCCATCCAAAAGTTTTAGGTGTTTAGGAGATGATGGAAAGAAAAAGAGAGAAAAAAAAGAAAATCCAAAGTAAGGGTAAGGAAAGAGGAAGCAAATGTAGTAGGTCCATTGGCTTTCATCACAAATTGATAATCAGAATTTGCTACTTAAAGCAATTTAAAATGTCAACATCTTCTATGGTTTTCTTCCCTTTCGCCCAACTTTTGTTATAACTTCAGTTTTGATCTTGAGTGTTTAAGTCTCCAGCATAATCGACACTTCGTTTTACTAGCTATTTAAGTAAACGGGACCAAATCATCTGGCTGTTAAAATATTTGAAACCAGCAAAAAAATTCAGTCCCCCAAAATGTGCCACTGAACATTCAATGTAATTAACTGATTTGGCCGTATGTCATGAAGACATCATCAGTAAATGGCAATCCCAGTGCTTGCAAGATTCTGTAGAGGTTCAGGTGCTTATTTTCATAAATGAGAAAAAGCCTAGAAACAAAGATAAGCTGACTCCCTTTGCTTCAACTAGAAAAGACATTGAACAATGATGTTTCCCAGAAAACCCAAGACTTACTTAATGAACAAAGGACAATTATTTTGCAAATGCCCAATTCTAGTGGAATTTACCTTGGGCTTGAATAGATTGTATTATAAGATTCTTGTCCAACAGGGACTTTTTAAGATGAATTTGAACACTTCATACTTCTTTCCTCACGCTTTCCAAAAGAGTACAACAGTAACAGCAAGCTAGGATTAAAATACATGCAACCCAATAATGCCTTTCAAGTCAGGACTCCAGGGCATCATAGCTGGAAGAACATTCCGGCAGAGGTCAGCAGACCAAAACCAGCGTTCTAGTCCTAAGCCTGTTGTTAACTAGCTGTGCGACCTTAGGGAAGGAAGTCAATTTCCCTCTCTGGCTTCAAGTCCTAATGGGAAAAATGAAATGTTTGGATAAAGTAAAATCAAACAGCCTACTGCCTTTGACATTCTGCAGAGCACTAATGAATTCTATGGGCTTATGTTTATATGTAATAAAATTATCTGATCTGTAATTTCCTCTTTCCACAGAACAGACACTTTTATCTACTTTTGCAAAAGGGTCATTGACACTGAAGATTTGTTGCTTTTCTTATAAAATCACAAGAATTAATCTGATACTTGTATAAGGCTTACGCAAAATTAAGTGTTCGAAAAACCTACAACATGAAAGATAGCTTACGATTTAACTTTAAAAAACCAACAGTTTTTTTCTTCCCTATCTTTCAGTCATCCGAGATGGAAAAAATTCCCATATCAGCCTTTCACCCTTGGAAATCCCCATCACACACACCATAAACTGAAGCTTTGCATTAACTTTAATAAATTATGCACTGCCTCCCGAAAACAAAAAAATTTAAATCTCTCTCTCTAGCTGACTCCTCTTGTTTTATAGCTTCTCATTTTATAGTATCTCCCAAGGTTTTAGACTCAGCATTTATGAGGTACTGAAATTACAATAAGAAAAAGAGAATTGAAAACGTCACTTTGAAAATCTATCTGTCCATCCATCCATCCATCCGATTCATTCACTGTCTTAATGAAAGTTTATTGAGAACTTCATATACATAAGACACTGTGATAGATGTTGTAGGGACAGAAAAAAATTTATAGTCTATAAGGACAGAATGACATGACGGAGTTAATAAGTGTAGGTCACCTGTAAGCTGCCTATAGTATTTGAGGCATAGTAGGAGTATAACATAGAAAATACTATTTAATTAGTGAGTATACTGGACAATTTCAGAGTCTCTTATGTGGACTAGCTGGCCCAGGGAGCGCTCGCTGTAAAAGGAAAAGAGACTGTCCTTCTTGTTAATGGGTAGAAGAACACAGTGTGGATACGGAGACTTCTTTCTCTGGTGTGGCTGTCAGCTGACTCTACAGGGATTGGACATTGTCTACATTTCCTCTCATCGACCCTTACTCTCAACGTACAAATAATTAGCCATTAAATGATCGTAGCAAATAAAAAGCAGAAACATCCAGTTTAATGTCCAACTGCAAGAAAATGACCCCAAAAGTGTTCTAAAACACCAGCAACAACAAGCAGGACACATTGTTGCCATCCCTTATTTATATCTTCCTGTGCTCTCCACAGTGCTATTAAAAAATCATTTGTTTCCTTCTTTGTACTTCCTATGATAACTTACCTCGGTCTTGGTTCCGACGACGTTTCCAGTATAGTAAGATGGAGATTAAGACCAGAAGAATTACCAAGGAAACAATGCTTAACAAGAGCGGAACTGAAAACCAAAATCCTATAGACGGTGAAGGGGGGAAAAAGGAGAAACAAAGTCATAAGCAGAAACCATTGAGGCAAAAAGTGATAAAGCAATCGTGATGAGTTTTTCCTAGAGTGGAGCTTTCGATGAAAATTATCCTCAAATATATACCTATTGATGTCTCCACTCATGGTTTCATATTATTTCAATAACATTTAGTTAATAATAATCTAACCACGTTTTCTGTGGCTACTATCTCATAAGAGCTTTGAATGTGTTATTTCATTTAATCCTCAAAACAACCCAAGAGTTAGGTATTATTATCATCCTCGCACATATAAAAACAACAACAACAACAGCAGAACAAAAAACTGAGGCTCAGAGAAGCTAAGTAAGCCCCAAATCAGCGTAGTAAGGGGCAGAACCAAGGCTTGGTCAGAGGTCACAGCCCATTAAATAATATATTTATTGAGGAAGTTGTGGAAAATACAGAGACATATAAAGGAAAAAAATCATGGATTTCATGATGCCAACCCCAGAAGTAACTCATCTCAATGTTTTTATTGTATTTCTTCTAATCTGTGTCTTTGTTATTAAACCTCTTTCCAACAGTCAATAAATGCAGCCCCTCAGTGTCACTCCGCAATCCTACAGTGGGGGAAGAGCTTCCTGATTTGGGAGTTTCCAGCATCTTCCTCATACTTCTGTAACAGGATTTCTCACATCATAATTCAACCAAGCCCCTTCAGACAGAGATGTGTCTAACTTCCATGGTTCCAGTGCTTGATAAATGCTTGAAGCATGGAAGACTTTCAGCAAATGCTCGCAGAGTAAACAAACATTACACAAACGATGTATAAACATTATAAACGACGTAAGTCGATTCTGGCATTCTTGGACAAGAAGACATGTTCCTTTTCAGGTTCTTGCTTTTCAGGGAAATTTACCTTCTGCCTTGGCTGAAAATGAGGATCTCTTCACAAATGTCCAGATCTAACACTACAAATCTTTTGCCCAAAATTACCTAAATGTTGACTTTTTGATTAGTCTGTTTTTTTCAATAACCCCAAAAATGACTATAGGAAATGTTCCCTAGAGGCAACCCCACCAATAAGGCATTCAGGGGAAAGTTTTCCCAGGCTTTAGTGCTTAAAATGCTCCCTGGAAAAAAAGCATCAGTACCTTTGTAGGAGGCTTATTAATGAGAGCCTCGTCCAGAGCTGATGCTTTAGCCACACAGATAAAGAAAACCGTGGCTATTCCCAAAGCATCTTGCCTAAAACTGCCGCTCCCTCTCTTCCCCCGCCCACAGGCCTCACTTCCTGTGTCCATGAGGCCCAGAGCTAGCAGCTTAGAGAGAAACACAAGAAAGCAAAAGCAGTCTTGCTCAGGATGCAGTTTGTTTCAAAGGGGTGAGGAAAACATCCTCACATTGGCCCCTTTCTTAAAAGCTCTGTGGCCCTGTTCTACAGCGCAGAGGATGCAAAGCCTTCCTCATGGACGTCCCTTCTTCCAGGAAATCTTCCTGCTCCCTCCAGACTGAGCTGATCCTCTCCTCCCCACTCTCAATCCTCCCGGGTGCAGCGTAGCTTTCTTCCTGAAGCATTTCGCACGCAGTTGTGTAATTGCCCGTTGTGTTATCCGCAGTAGAACAGAAGCTTTCTGAGCACAGGGACTGAGTCTTGCTTACTGTTGCACTTCAACAGTCCCAACACCTGGCACACAAGAGACACTCAGGAAATGTCAGCAGCATGGAAAACTAAAGGCGTGGATGGATCTCAACAAAAGCGTTTGGTATGTGGGCAGCATACAACAGTTACCAAAGTAAAACTGGCTTTACTGGTTTCCTCAACTCTGTTTTTCTTTCCCCACTTACTCCATTCTCTCTCTTACTAGCGCCTTGGCTGAGAGGCCAAGAGGCTCTGCAGAACATTCACCACTTTCCAGTTGTGTGTACACAGATGCAACCGCAGCCTTCTCTTACCTTTATGCACAGTTTGCGTGACGCTGGTCACATTCCCCAGGTGCAGCACCTGGCAGACCACCTCCTTCCCCACCTGACGCTTGGGGTCTTTGACCTGGAGAACGCTCGTGACAGACGTGGTCCCATTGGGGTGAAAGAGAACCTCAGTACTGTTTTCAATCCCTGACCCAGACACCTTCCAGGAGATCACAGGGGCTGGGCGGGCATTGGCAGAGCAAGTGATATTTAGGTGGTCTTCGAAGAATTTATAGTGAAGGAACACTGTGGGCTGTACTGGGACAAAACAAAAAAATGATGGTCTGCCATCAGTTAAGCCCCACATTCTCCTCAGAGGAGGAAGGAAGATCTTTACAGAAAGACACTGGGGGCTCAAGGGATAAGGTGGCACATCCAACCCAAAGTGGGGCTCCTCAGCTCTTCCTGTGTCTAATCCTCTGGCTGGCGGGATGGAAACTGGCCTAAGACAGCCCTGTAGCAAGAAAAATCCTCTCTGTAGTTTGTCTGCAGGGGGATTAGCTGAACGGGGCGGGGGGGTGGGATTCTTCTTTCCCAAACGATCCAGAGCCTAATATTCTGTTCTCCATTTCCACGGGCAAGGCAGCACCTCTGGCTTCTTCGGGGTGTCCCTCTCATAGTCTGACAATGGTCACCCGTCAGCATGGCCATAGAGGTAGGCTGCACTTCTCAGAAGCCCCAGGGCGGTTTCAGACCAGAGAGCCCGCAGAGGGAGTGCTGAGAGATGGCCTTTCAGAGCCCGACCAGAGAATGAGATGCGAGGAGGAGACTTGGAAAGTCCCTGCTTGGAATATCTACAGAAAATGTAAATTAGAAATTCACTGCTGCGGTCATGATCCTGGAGTCCCGGGATCGAGTCCCGCTTCGGGCTCCCTGCTCAGCGGGGGGTCTGCTTCTCCCTCTGACACTTCCCCTCTCATGCTCTCTCTCTATCTCATTCTCTCTCTCAAATAAATAAATAAAATCTTTAAAAAAAAATTAAAAAAAAGAAATTCACTGCTGCTAACCAGAAAATCACAGAATGACAGTTGAAAGGACCTTGGAGATCACCTGATAGAATTAAGACAAAATAGTTTATGAGAAAAGCACATTATTGTAGTCCAGCTGTAACCCTGTTCCCTTTCAAAAGTCCCTTGACCAGTGAATTCATTTTCATTGTGTACTTTCAATGTGCAGTTCATCTCTACTGAGCAAACACGAGCTGGCTTTCCTGTGGTTACTCTGGAGCCTACAAGATAATTAAAGGGCAGTAGCGAAAGGAAAACCTGGTCTGTGTTTAGAGGTTCAAGAGGTGGGTGGGTGGCAGTGGGTTGGAGGAAATGGGCCCAGAGGGACTGTGGCCTCTTCCAAAGAACACCCAGATTACTAAAGTCGATGGGCACTAGGGGAAGACAGATAAAAGTGAAGGAAGAGGAGTATGGTTGACATGGTGAGACTGGGTGGCAGGGTTCTCTGGTACATCCAAGGAAGCTATAGATGGAAGCTATAAGGTATGGCTGGAAATGATCCATGTGGAAAAGAACAGGATTACTATCCAGAAAATTCAGGGGAGTTTGGTTTTCAGGTAAAAAATAATACAAAAGTTTATGGGTAAAGGAGGGTAAAAAAGAGAAAGACGAGAAAAAAAGAAGAAAAGAAAAAGTAATAGAAATGAAAAAAGCATCCACCAGAAGGAAAAAAAAGACGAGTGAGGAGGTGGAAGGAAGGAAGGAAGGAAGGAGGAAAATGGAGAGGAAAGAAGGAGGGAAGACTGGAGGGAGAGGAAAGAGGAAAAAGGACAGGGAGACAAAGAGACAAAGAAAACAAAAACATAGAGTCAAGAAGAAAACCTGACATAAGAGCCTGCAGAGAGGACTCATTATAGGCAAAATAAGTGAAAGAAACCCTGTTGTGTTTTTTTTTTCCTGTTGCCATACCTCCCTTGCACTCTCGTTTACTGATCCTCCTCTTACCCCATGTCCAATATTCTTGGTGTGCTCAAACTCTCACTTTAACATTCCTGATAACCCTGTCTAAATTTCTCTTTTCCCTTCTAAAACTACTACCAAGTGTGCCATGCTCCAAAGTTACCCCTTATTCCCACTTCTCAATTCTTGATCCCAGCTATGTGTCAGTTAAACGGAAAAGAAACTTGTCAAACTCAGCCTCTTGGATCGTAAAAGAATGCTTATTATCCAGCTAAATACCTAGTTGACTGCAGGTATGAAGAGCCTCTGAGGTATATCCCAAGAGAACTGTGTTGAAACAAAATGAGAGGGACCACCATAACTGGCTCTGGGTAGGCCCGATCTGGCTCTGTCCTCAGATCCAAAAGTGTTAAAGCTGTTAGAGACCCTACAGATGATCAATTTCATACTTACTGTGCAGATAGACAGACTGTGGTTCAGAGAGTGGGAGAGGACGCTCCCAGGGTCACATGACTGCTAATGGCAAAGCCAGGTCTGAATCATACCACTACTTACGAAGAACCCATTATCCTCACCATGGTCCTTAATTTACTCTTGCTGAGAACACCATTCCTCAGAGCAAAGATAACCCCAGGCAGAGATTCAAGGTAGCCCCACGAACTTTCCAAATAACCATAAGCACAGTTATAACAGACATGAAAGGCTAAGTGTCTTCTCATGAACTTTTCTGAGGTTAGGATCCTGAAAAACTAGGCACTACTACCAGGTTCCAAACATTCTTGAAAATGACATTTCTAGCCAGAGACAATGTATTCCCAGAGATTCTCACCAGAGAGGCTGAGGCAGGCTGTTCCTGAGATCTTCCCAGAACCAAAAGTATTGAAGAGGCACTTGTAACACCCTTCATCCTCCAGGGTGGTGTTCCAGAAGGTAATGGTTGAGTTCTTGAGTTCCAGCTGGGTGATGTTTATCTTGTCTTTATAGGCAGGCTGGACCACAACCCCATGGTTCTTGCTGAAGGTGACCATGTTTTCTGGGCTAACAGCCTTGATTTTCTGCCATGTCACAATCAAGACTTCCTCGGAATTTTGCAGAGAGCATCTTAAGGAAGCAGGTGTGTTCAGCGGCTTTTTTTCATTTTGGGTCACGACTTTTATCATGGAATCATAAAAGAACATCTGTATTTTAAAATTTAATACATAAAAATTCACATTTTTCTGATTAAAAAAATGCATGTTCAAAGTTAAACATAGAAAAGATAGAGAAAAATGCAAAGAAAACATTTACCTACATCCCTGATGTTGCTAGAGAAATATAAGTTCAAATACGTTTATTCAATCTTTAAGAGTAACAGAGTAAAAAAACAAGAAAGCAAACTTTCAGTGACAGAAATTGTGCAAAGAATCCCTGTAAGCTGAAAGCAGGTAGAATGGGGTTGGAGATGCAAATTGCCAGATAGAATAGAAGCATCACCAGGAGTGTTCATGCCTAGAGGTGCAGAAGAAAGAAAGGGCCAACGGACAATTGGCAGAGTGATCCGTTTAGGTGAAGAAGATGTAACAGGCCTATACATTCCACACACACCCCCTATAAAGAAGGGTCAGCAATAGCAGTTTTTGCCTCCGGGAAGCAGTGGTGAATATAGGAACATAAGGTAGAAGAACATGCGGGACAATGCTTCAGGAGGCTACATAGTACCAGATGGCTTTGACAATCAAATAACAATTTACTACGCATTCCCACATTTTTACTTAATGCAATGCAGAATATAAGGCATGACAATAATTTCTTCCCCCGTCAATGCTGGCTACTCATATTGATATGAGAGATGATTCAATAGGAAATCTTAATATAATAACAACTAGGCAGACATCTGAGAAAGCTGACTCAATGAAAGAATAAACTCTACAAACCCAGGAACTCAAACTAAATGAATAAAGACATAATGAATCAAGAAACACTTTGACGTGAATAAACATGATCTCTTAAGTATAAAAAGAAGCCAGCATTGTAAACAGTAGAATTTAGAGTTGTAGAAAATGACAAATATAAAATCTTAATGATTTGGCTGATTTAGCAGAATGGACATCACTGAAGGGTCAACTAGTTAAGTGTGCTTTTGTGCTACATTCTTCCCAGAATGTAGCACAAAAGCATAAAGATATGGAAAAAATTCAAGAAAAATTCAAAGACCTGGAATATTTCAACATCATCACTGAGACTTACAAGAAGGGAAAAGGAAGAATGGGAGACAAAAACGATGTAAGGGACAAAAATGTATTTTTCAAAATGATAAAAGGAGCAATCTAAAATAAGATATATACATTATGAATCTTTATGTTGGGACACCTGGGTGGCTCAGTCAGTTAACCATTCAATGCTTGATTTCAGCTCAGGTTATGATCTCAGGGTCATGGGATTTAGCCCCACATCAGGCTCCGCACTCAGCAGGGAGTCTGCTTGAGATTCTCTCTCTCTCCCTCCCCCTCCATGTTCTCTCTCTCTCTATCTCTCAAATAAATAAATCTTTAAACAAACAAACTTTTCTGTACCTAACAACATAAGTGAAACATATAAAACGCCATAGAATTGAAAAGAAAAATTTTAAATCCACAAAAATAATGGGAGAGTTTTCCATAGTTTGCTCAGAATTTTCACTTCCACATATTAAAAAATACAGATAAAGCAAAAAGGTCAAATGTAAGGATGAGAAGATTTGAAAAGTGAATATTTATATATAAATCATTATATATATAAATCATATGTGTATGTGTATATAGGTATGTATTTATAAACTTTTACCAAAAGAGAACATACAATCTTTACAAACATTCCCCCAAATTGAACTTGAAATAAGATGCAAAAAAAGCTCTTACCCTATGACCTTGAACACTGTCCACAATGTAATAAACAAGAAATTTACATACTTCTTTCAACTCTAATTACACCCACCAGAAGTCATAGCAAGAATAATCAACTACTATAAATGACAAGGAGAATATAATGTATTAAAATCCGTAGAAACTGATAAAGCCATCTTCAGAGGGAAATATTTAATCTTTTTTTTTTTTTAAAGATTTTATTTATTTATTTGAGACAGAGAGAATGAGATACAGAGAGCATGAGAGGGAGGAGGGTCAGAGGGAGAAGCAGACTCCCTGCCGAGCAGGGAGCCCGATGCGGGACTCGATCCAGGGACTCCAGGATCATGACCTGAGCCGAAGGCAGTCGCTTAACCAACTGAGCCACCCAGGAGCCCGGGAAATATTTAATCTTAACTTCATTAGGAAACGAGAGATTGAAAAATGAATACACACGTATATTCAAACATCCCCCAAAAGATAAAAGGAGTGAATTCATATAGATAAAAGCACAAATTAATGCAATGGTAGACAACATGTAGACTTAATCAAAAACACCAAAATCTGTTTTTTTTTAAATGAGTAACACAGAGAACACGTTGGCTAGTATCATAAAAAAAAAAAAAAAAGAAGCAACGTCCTCTCAGTGGCCCTTCAACAATGTCAAGGATGAGAAGGTAGGCATACCAACAGACACAAATTGGAACCCACGAGTATTGCAGAAGTGTAGTTGTAGGGAGGTGTACTCTTGGTAGATGTGAAAAGCTCTGGAGGCTATACCTGTTGTTGGGGTTTTCTGAAAGTTTGTTGAGATTTTGCAGAGCAGAGATTTGAAGAAATTGCTGCTTTTAAAATGGAGAGTAGAAAAGGAACCTGAGCTAGAGTTTTAACTTCTTAGGTGATTTTTCTATTTGACTAAGAAATAATCTAGTGGACAGTTTACAATTCTTGGATGCTTCTATGGAATTCCATTTAGATTCCCCCAAGTCCGTTGGTAAAGCCTGTGCCATGGATGGTGGGAAGCCTGCCCTGTCTCCACCTGTGAAGGCTGATATAAAGCAACAGCACATGGAAGGTGATAGAAGGTCAGTGGCGAAGTGAGGGGTGGCATCCCATGGAACACAGGAGAAAGGTCTGGCACAACTAGGAAACTCAACAAATAAGTGGACAGCACAGGCGTATGCTTCATATAGTCTGTGAACCTAGGTAACCTCTAGATTTCATTATTTTCCATATTTTTCTGTAAAAGAGGGGGCATGCCCAATTTAAAGGCTTACTACCAGATTACCTTCTAAAAAGGGTATATATTCATTCATACTCCCCAAGCATTTCCATATCTTTATAAACATAGGGAATTATATTTAAATAATATGTAAAAGTCATTTGCTTTGATAGGTGAAAAACATCTTAATTTAGAAAGAATTTCTTCACATCTGGTTTTATCTAGGGAAACAGTTTCTAAATAGTCAAAGCCTTTTTCCACTTTGAAAACAAAAATGTGTAAAGCAGAAAGAACCACTCCCATTCCTCTAAGCAAATTACATGTTTAAATAATTCATGCAGACAAATGAACTAGCACAGCACAAACAACACTAGCCAGATGTCTCCACTCCAGAAATTGTGCTCCCTGGACCCCATGCAGGGGAACTGGGTATCTTTTTACCTTGCGCCCTGCATAGCATCACTGCTGCCAAGAACCAAATCAGTCTGTAGGTAGACAGATGACAGAAGAGCCTCCTGAACACCTGAAGACAGAAAGCAAAGCAAAGACATGGGCATTTGCATGTGGACAAAAAGCTTAGGAAGCTTCAATTTCATGGCTACCTCAGGGAATGCTGCAGCTCAAGTTTTAACCACCAGATAACTTTGATTTTGTGGATGCAGAACTGCAGACGATAAATGGAATAAATAAAAGAGTGTGCTCAGGATATGGGAAGGGAAAAGCAGCAATATGGCTCCTCCATTATGGCAATCCCTAGCAATTTGAGGCCGCGCTCTCAAAGCCACCATTGTCAAGAGCCAGGCCTCAAAGACGTGGGATGGTCGGGGAAAACAAACTGCCATAAATACACACAGAAAACACGGAGACTACAAATGCTTTCATCCACTTCCCAAAGAATCCACTTCTGTTAACATTAAAGATGGAACTCAGGGGGGACCACTTTGCAGAAAGATACAACTGCCTTGGAGTTTGCTGAAGTAGATTTCCCTGAAAATTCTGCAAATTTTATACGAATTGCCCCTTTTAAAAAACAGTAGCGTCCAGGGGCACCTGAGGGGCGCAGTCAGTTAAGCATTGGACTCTTGGTTTTGGTTCAGGTCATGATCTCAGGGTCCCAGGATCAAGCCCTGTCACCAGCTTTGCATTCAGTGCAGAATATGCTTGAGATTCTGTCTCTCTCTCTCCCTCTCCCTCTGTCCCTCCCGCTTGTGCGTGCTCTCTCTCTCTCAAATAAATAAATAAATTTTTAAAAAAACAAACAAACAAACAGTAGTGTCCTTATTTTTTTTCTGCATTGCTTTGTTTTCATGTGTCCGGGAAGAAATCTTTGGCATTTTTACATGGTGACATTTAATTGGATGTTATTCTGGGTATCATTTTATTATAAAATGAGAGGGTGGATGTAGACAGACTAACTACAGTAGCCCCATGGATCCATTCACTTCATCTACATGTGTGTGTTCATAAGGGTACAGGCAAGAAATGTAATTTTTCCCTTTATTTTTCTGTATTAGAGATGTGTAAGAAATGTAGGTCACTCTGTATTTTTCTTTACCTGAGTTTCATTGTTATTTCATGTTGCCATTCCAACTAGAGGTAGAGACTTCACTGCAGTCAATATCACATCATCTCTGTCAATTCAGCCCCCTGCCACCCCCGCACTTCACAAGTGTTCCAATCTCTGGCATTGCATCTCCATTCTTGGGGGCTCACACAATGCCAAGCCATGGGACAGGGCTACTAGTCCTTGGTTACAACCATCTATCCACGGTAGCATTCTCTAAGGTGGCTGTGTTCCCCTCCAGTCATCATAGTCATCGATTTGTGCAATTAAACCTTGCACTTAGAAAGTGTCTTCTCTCATTCTCTTTCGTTCTCCTGATTCCGTGCCCCTGGGTTGGGCAAAGGGAAATTCTACAAGCTCTCTGCCTAGACGCCCATGTATCTATCCATCTCTGTTTTACTCTTCCCTTGTCATGATGAGGAGGCTGGTCTCTTTCCACAGTTTCTCCCAGGAAAGCAAGGCACAGATGTTTCTGTTCTTGGATTTCAATAGCTCCTTGTAAGTTCTATTTACCATCCTCCTGAACTCCCTCCCCATGCACCGTGATCAGGCACAGGGCTGCCTTTTCAGAAGGCAAGCTTGTGTCTGAATACAGACTTTAATCAGGCCCTCTTTGCTCTCCCAGCCTAGAAAATATGTATTTCCCCTAGGGTCAGGAAAGCTGGTTCTTCCATCTCCTGCGTTCTTCTGGAATAACGTATGTCCTTGGTTTTCCAGTGTTTAGGCTTTTAAAACTCAAATGCTTAGGCTCTTGCTGTCTCAACACCTTGGCTTCCAAAACTAAAGTCTTCTTTGGCATTCTAATTCTCTGCCATTTTTTTTAACCATATGCCTCTCTCTCACATGGAAACCCAAATTCTAGCAAAGATGATGAGGAATACAGAATGGACTGGCTCTCACAGTGAAAATTTGTGTTTTAGGATAAGAGAGAAAGCAGACGCACACCAGAACACAGTGTGTGAGCTGGGAGCCAAGAATGTCTAAGAAGGAAAACACAATGATTGAGGCAAGGGAATTAGAAGGAAAGCCTTGCTATTAAATATATACATAATTATTCTGGCTGATGAGTGGGGTTAGCACAAATACCATATGTGTGAGCCAGGACAAATGACTTTACTTCTCCAAAAGAGGCAAAATAACAGCACCAACCCTTCTATTGAAAAGACTAAGCAAGTTAGTACGTGGAATGCCCCCAGAATAGTGAGTGATACGAGTAAGCACTAAATAAATATCGTTGTTATTTCATTGGGCTGCTATGAGAATTAAGCATTGAAACCACTTAATAAGGTGTCTAAGATACAGTAAATCCCAATACATGTTAGGTAACTAAAAAAAAAAAAAAAAATCCATTAATCAAACCACATACAGGGAGTACAAAATGAAAATGGAGAAATCCACTTCTACCCCTTGCCAGGAGGGCCAGGGTTCCCAGGGACCTGGTCTTACCTGGCAGCTACCCCTCTGGCAGCTAACTGCTCCTATCCAGGCCTCTTTCCCCTGAGTTTCTAGGTGCAAATCCTGCTCCCATCAGGTGTAGTCTCATGGGCTTGTGAAAATTAACCTCTCTGCTTGTTTCCTTATTTGTAAAAGCACATAACAATTCCTCCTCTGAAGGATGGTTGTGAAGATTAGCAGCATCCAGTGCGCCCAGTAAACATAAGCTCCCAGGCCACCATTCTCCTTTGTTAAGAAAGATACTGAAATGACTGGCCGTGCGGTCTTGCCAGTAAACCATATATGAAAAGAAAAGAAAAGAAAAGAAAATACCTTGAGGTATTACTTGTATTTGGATTTTAATCTTGTATTGTTATTATTCTTTTCAATTCTCCCAATATAAATAAAAATCCACTCATTCAGTTTGAGCCATGTAAACAGATCCGGAATAAACAAAATGTCTGTCTCTCTTGGATACCCTGGGGTTTAACCCTGATTTATCTGGCCCTCTCTGGCTCCCGAGGCAAAGGACCGAAGGATGGAGAAAGAGGCCGGTGCTTCAAGGAGGGAGCGAGCTCTGAGCCCTGAATCCTGCAGCCCCCACCCCAGCTTTGGGTGCCAACACGAGGCCAAAGCAGCACCCGCCATCCCCTTCTTGGGACAGCATACAATAGGATGTGCTTTCGTGCGCTCGGGTCGGGGCCAGGGAGCCCAGCCGCCAGCCTGCCCGGAGGACCGGCCGGCCGCCGGCGCGCGCCCCCCCGTCCAGGTCCCCTCCGAGGACAATGATCTCGAGAGAAGCGTCTCCGTCTCCGAGGCCCCCGCCTGGCGGCATCCTTCTAGGACAACTGGCACAGAGAACCGGGACTCCGGGACCAGCCTGGAAACCACCCTTCGCGAGGCAAAATCCTATTGTCGGCAAGGCTAGGCGTCGCGGGGAAAGCGCCCGCACCAAGCCCAGCGCCCAACCAGCCCCGGGCGAGCCGCAGCCGGACGCACTCAGGCCGCCGCCGTCCCCAGGGCCGCCGGCGCGACATCGCCCGCCCCGCGCCCTCCTTCCACGCCCGGCCCCGCTCACCGGCCTCCCCATGGTCGCTCCCGGCCGCGCGCGGTTGCCGGCTTCAGCTGGAAAGCCCGGAGGATCTCACCGCGGCGCGCCGAGCGCCTCCAGCTCAGGGAGGCGGGCCAATCCCCGCCCCGGCACGGAGCCATCGTGGCGGTCCACGCGCCCTCAAGTACTCCACAAGAGCCCGGCCTCACGGGTTCCGGTTAAATTCCCCACCTTGAAACATTTCCAGTTCTTAGAGGTGACGATTGGGGAAACTGAGAAAGCACGGGGGGTGGGGGATGGGGTGGGGAATACACTTTTTTCATTTTCATTTGACAGGGACAGAAAGGAAATGGGGGAGGTGAGGAGTCATCGGTGGGGCCGTAGCGCTCAGGAATGGCAACCTGCATTGTTAAGCAGGTGTGAAATAACAGGAGATGGTGAAACCGGGAAAGAACAAAATGGAAAAGGAAAGAAAAAGGCTTTTCTTCGGGGGTCTGGGAATCGCAGTTCAGGGAGCACGGGTTCCGGGAAACTGGAAACGTGCTGTGCTCTAGTAGGGAAAGCAAGGGGTTTTATGAAAAAGAAGGAAGGGGTGATGACATGAGGCAGATAAAGCAAATAAGGGGGAAAGGTGCTAATTTGGTGCTGACAGCCACTTCTGATAACTATTGCTTTATTGTTGCTGTCCAGTTAAGCTGTCCCTAGTATGTGTTAACTGCCTATACTGTCTTCGTATGACCTGAATGCCAGCTGCTGTGTTGAAATTTAACTGTTTGTAAAACTGTTGTCGCTTCTGGCTCAGTTCAAGAGCTCATTAGTTGGAAAGGAAAATGGAGCATCAAGATGGATTCTCTCACGTCCAGAAATTTTACACAATTCCACACAGGCATGTCAGAAATGAAGAATTTTGAGAAATGTTATTCAGTTTCTCCAGATGTCACCTATGAAAATAAAAAAAAAATGTTTTGAGGCTGAATTTAACCAACAGACGCTTTTTAAAAACAAATGCACATTTATTTTTATCCAGAATCAAATTTTGTATTCAAGCAATCAATTCTGTAATGATCTCTCCTTTCAGAGTGACTGGTTGGTTGGTTTATTTGTCTTCTTACATGGAGGAGTTTCCTTCCACTTGTTTGGCGAGGAAGATTCTTCTTATTTTAACAAGTTCCAGAGTTGTTGGCTCTTAGAGAGAGAGAAAGAGGTAAACAGATCATTGAATTATTCATCTCCTGAAATCTTCCTGTTTTCTTACCACCACCCTCTGACAAGGTGCTGGGAAAGAGCTTTTAGTTAAGGATCCGTGGACCGTAAACCAGAGAGCTGTAATTATAATGACTGGACCTTTCCACATAAACAGAAACATGACCACACATAATCAAAGGATTAAATGACTCATGGGCTGCCAAACAGGATACGTAAAAGAAAATCAACTTATAGACATAGTATAGTGACATCAAGAAGATCAAATTAAGAAAATCAAGGAGAAAATTCTAAAAAACTTCAAAAGTGAAGAGAGACACACAAAGGAAAGAGGATCAAAGTGACCTTAAATGTCATAAGGCAGTGCCAGGTGCAAGAAGACAATGAGTTAATTTTCATATTGAAGAAAACTAACTTTGAATTCCACGTCGTCTCTTATAAACATTGCTACACAGGTATATTTAATTTTTTTTTATTTTTTCATCAAATGTATCATTTTGTAGAGGAGCATGCAAACATCACAAGTATACAACTCGATGTCATAGCAGAAGCACATCAAAAACTGCACATTCCCAGCTTTCCAGAGCCTGTCACTACCACCCCCCCCCGCCCCGCCCCTGCCCCACTGTCCTACTTTTAACCTCCTAGACTAGGCTTGCCTGTTGGTACACTTCATATAAATGGCATCAGAGACGACGTCCTCATTTGTATCTGGGTTCTTTCACTCAGCAGTAGGCTTGAAGAATTCTTCCTTGTGACTGCATATAGTTGTGATTCGTTCATTCTCTCTGTTGTAGACTATCCATTCTGTATATACTGTACACCACATTTATTTCTCTGTGCTACTGTTAATGGAAATCTGTTTTCCAGTTTAGGGTTATTTTTAATAGTGGTGCTATAAACATTCTTATACGTGGCTTTTTGTGAACCTGTGTAGACCATTCTGTTAGATTATTTTTTATTTTTGCCAGATATGTCTTTTCCTTTTGCTTTATTTTTAATCTTTCTCTATTCTTTTTTTTTCCCCAAGTGTCAGATATTTTGCTGGACCTAAATTTTTAAAATCTACTCAAAGACTCTGTTCCAGATTTTATAAACAAAATATTATACAATTATAGGATAAAAAAAGATTTCTGTAAAGGATATAATTCTCATAAAATTTATTCTATCCAAACTCTCCATGAAAACACTTTCAAGAGTATTCTAAGAAAAAGGAACATTACTCCGGGAGGATGCAACTTGGAAAGATATATAGAAGGAATAAATAATTCATCAAAATTTATAATTGTCCCAAAAAGCAAGATCCCCCAAATTATAAAACCTACATGGAAGGAGGAAACGAGATATGAGAGGTAAGTGAGAATTTTGGCAAGATATACATTTTTAAGAAATTGACATTATAGGGGCACCTGGGTGGCTCAGTCGTTAAGCGTCTGCCTTCGGCTCAGGTCATGATCCCAGGGTCCTGGGATCGAGCCCCGCATCGGGCTCCCTGCTTGGCAGGAAGTCTGCTTCTCCCTCTCCCATTCCCCCTGCTTGTGTTCCCTGTCTCACTGTGTCTCTCTCTGTCAAATAAATAAATAAAATCTTTTTTAAAAAAAGAAAGAAATTGACATTATAAAATAAAGAGAAGTATTGTCCTTAGTAAGTTAGGAAAGAACATCAGAAGAATAGTAACAAAAGAATATTTAACTTCATAACAGCATGGGAGAAAAAAGAATATAACTAAAATGATATGAAAGTTAAAAATAAAATGGAAAAGACGTCCTATTATATCAGTTACTACAACATATACAAATAGGTTAAAAACACAAAAGATAGAAACCTAGGACACAGAAGAGTGAACAAGGGAGGGGAAAAATCCCTGCCATTATGAAGCATAAACATTACTTTAAAAAGTCTTTGGAAAAGAAAAAATGTGCTTACATAATTTAACATTTGGCAAACAAGGGAAAGATGACATTTACAATTCTTGGATAAATCTAAAGAAGCAGTTAGAGCTAATTTATCATCTTAACTATACTTATCATATACCAATGTTGAGCAAAAGAAGCAGTGAAGTCAATGAAATAAAAAGTGTAGATAAAACTAAAGGCAAAAATCAATAAAAAGGAACAAAATTGAATGACTATAAAAAGAGCTTTTTCTAGAAATTAATTAAACAAACCTATGGTAAAAATTACTAAGAGAATTGGGGTGCCTGGGTGGTTCAGTTGGTTAAGCGTCTGACTGTTGATTTCGGCTGAGGTCATGATCTCAGGGTGGTGAGATCAAGCCCTGTGTGGGGCTCTGCGCTGGGTGTGGAGCCTGCTTAAGATTTTCTCTCTCCCTCTCCCTCTGACCTTCCCCCCATCTAGAAAATTACTAAGAAAATTAGAAAAAAAGAAACAATATAAAATGAAATATGAGAAGTAGAACTGACATAACAAATAGAAAAAAATAAGACAATATTATGAACATTCATATCAATTTGAAAACACAAAGTGGATAAAATTCTGAAAATGACAAGTTGGTCATAAAAATTTAAAGACTGACACCTTAACAATATTAAGTCTTCCAATACATGACTATAGGATATTGTTCCATTTGCTGTGTTTTCTCTAATTTCCTTCATTGATTTTTTTTAAGTTTATTTATTTTTAGTAATCTCTACACCCAATTTGAACACAAACTTATGACCCCAACATCAAGAGTCACATGGTCTACCTACTGAGCCAGCCAGGTGCCCCTCATTAACATTTTATATCAGTATGCAAGTCTTTCACCTCCTTTGTTAGGTTTATTCCTAAGTATTTTATTCCTTCTTGTGTTATTGTAAATGGAATTGTTTTTCCTAATTTCCATTTCGGACAGTTCATTATTAGCGTGTAGAAACACAACCGATTTTTGTATGTTGATTTTGTATTCTGCAATTTTACTGAATTTGCTTATTTGTTCTAAAAGTTTTTTATGGAGTCTTTGGGATTTTCTACATATAAGATCATGGCATCTGCAAGCAGGGACACTTTAGGTCTTCCTTACTGATTTCCCTGCCTTTTCTTTTGTTTTGTTTTTTGTTTTTCCTCCACTAAATCTGTGGCTAGGACTTCCAGTATTATGTTAAACAAAAGTGGCAAGAGGGAGCATTCATGCTTTGTTCCTGATTATTGAAGTCAAGCTTACAGTGTTTTACCACTGAGTGGGTTGTTAGCTATGGGTTTTTCTTATATGACATTTATTATGTTGAGATACTTTCCTTCTTTCTATACCTAGTTTGTTCAAAGTTTTTATCATGAAAGTGTTTAGAATTTTTTCAAATGCTTTTTCTACATGTATTTAGATGATTGTGTGATTTTTATTCTTTATTGTGTTAATATGGTGTATCACATTAATTTTCAGATGTTGAATTATCCCTGCGTCCCAGGGATTAATACTACTTGGTCATCCTGTATGAGCCTTTTAATATGCTGTTGGATTCAGTTTGCTAGTATTTTGTTGAAGATTTTTGCATCTATATTTGTCGGAATATTGGCTGGCTATTTTACTTGTGACGTCTTTGGCTGTGATGTCAAGGTAGTGTGGGCTTCAAAAAATGAGTTTGGAAGTCCTCCCTCCTCTTCAATTTTTTTGAAGGCGTTTGAGAAGCATTGGCATTAATTCTTGTTTAAATGTTTGGTAGAATTCACTAGTGAAGCCATATAGTCCTGGCCTTTTCTCTGTTGAAAGTTTTTTGATTTCTGATTTACTCTCCATACTAGTTAGAGGTCTATCCAGGCTTTCTACTTTATGATTTAATCATGGGAGGTTAGATGTTTCTAGGAATTTATCCGTTTCTTCTAGGTTACCCAGGCTGTTAGTGTATAATTTTTCATAATAGTGTCTTATGACCCTTTTTATTTATATGGCATCAGTCTCTTCTTTCATTTCTGATTTTATTTATTTGAGTCTTCACTCTTTTTTTCTTAGTTTAGCTGATGGTTTATCAATTTTGTTTACCTTTTCAGAAAACCAGCTCTCCGTTTTGTTAATTTTTTCTATTAT